TAAATATAAGTAAGTTTTTATTACTTTTTAAAAACTGTAACTAGCTATTCTTTAAAATAAAATTGCTCTTCTTTGGAGTTAAAACCAGTCACATCATCCAAATTAATTGTGATCCAAAAAAAAAGGTGTTTAAAAGACACTGAAATATCTTTAAGAGACAGGAGATTTATAAATCTAGCTATTGAAGTCAGAATGTTTACTAATATGTTTCAATCCAAAACTTAATTTACAGACTTAAAAATGATGTCAATCTCATTAAAAATAAAAAATAATTAGTGAAACTCGTAACACTCAGATTTGTAGTTTTTTCTTAAAAAAGAGAAAACCATGTATGTAATAGAGATTATTTTACTGACAGAATAAAAAAATACACAAATTTATGGTCATTCTTATCGTATACCCTTCTTATATAAAAAGATCAATGGGTCACATACACAGAGGCCACAAAATTTTTGTGCAAGCCAATTAGAGATATCAGAGGGAAAAGTACTTCCCTTCATTCTCCACAAAAATTTTAATTTTTCATGTTCTTCTGGGCATAATGTTCCATAGTGGAAGCTGAAAGTGATTAAAACATTCCTTAACATTTGTTTTCAGATCCTCAACTGCTATTTCCCAAAATCACACACATAGGGACTTTGTGGCCATGCCATATAGCATGGTGAGTAAGAGTAGGCTCTAGAGCTGGACTGTCTGAATTCGAATCCTGCCTTGGCCACTTACCAGCTATGCGACCTTAGTCAAGTTACTTAACTTCCCTTGTGCTTCAGTCCCCTTGTCTGTAAAATCGTGGTAATGATAGCACTTATACTATAGGATTGCCATGAGGTTTAAATATGCGTAAAGTTTCAGAACAGTGCATGACACATAGGAAGCACTCGATAAATATTATTAGCTATCTATTATGATGTTAACATCAAAAGATACTTTACTGATCATCTGGTCCAAAACACTTATTTTACAGATACGGAAACTGAGCCCAGAAAGATCAACCAAGTTGGATAGACACTTAAAGTGACAGAACCAAGATTAGACTCAGAAGCTTCCTGCCTCTTATTCTTATATTTAAGAGGATTTTTTTGAAGGAGAAAGAAAATGCTTTTTAAAATCCAACAGTACCTGAAAAAAAATTGAGGGGAGGAGGGGAGAACTACTGAAGTTCTGTTAACTAAAAAAGGATTGCTTTAAAAATGTTATTTACCTGATGCCAATCCTGTTAGTGTTACTACTAGCCATCCTGACCACGCATCATATAAACTCTTTGTCATTTCCCATGCTGATTCTTTCTTTTTGCTGTTGATCTGAAATTAGAAATGTTTATGCTTCATTTTTCAAACTATGAATAGAAGCCACAATTCTGGAATCCAGCAATTTTTCTCAGTTACCATACATAGAACAGTACTTCCTAAACTAAATAATGGAAGAGGTGAGTTTGGGACAAAGTCACCAAGCTAGACAGTTGTTATACCTGTAAACCAGATGACAAGCATTTACCCAGAGATCTTCATTTATAATAAGAACCTCAAGATTTGAGTGCAAGTGTAACCAGCTCTATGAACAAGTTTCAATGACCCCTATATAATCTTCTCCCTTAACTAACTACTTGAAGTTTTGAGTTGTTTCCCAGAAATGGCAGAATTTCTGTAAGACAAAACAGCTGAGATTTTGAAGGCCCCTGGGCAGACTTCTGATGCCAAGACTCACCATGCCCCACAACCTTGTTAATCATACCACTACCTGTCCCAGTGCATTAGTTGGACAAACAGACTTTAGGTTGATTCTCCTTTCATATTAAAAAATTCCTTTCTTCCTTGGCAATGTACATTGTTTCAATAAGTGGCTCTTTGTGTGGTGAGCAATTGGACCTAGGCTGAAATCCCCTTGCGGTTTCAGCCCAAGGGGTCCACAAACCACATAAAGTCTGACATAGACCATTTTAAATTGAATCAAATTCAAACTTTAATTAGTACACGTAACTATCTTTTACATTAATGGAGCAAGACAATATGGTTTGAATAAATATACCTCTAAGTACAATTTTATTTACCTAATAATCATACAAGACACAGGATTTATAGTGTGTCTCACCTTAGGTACTTTGGATTAAAATAATGGTTCTCAAAGTGTGGTACAGACAGACACCCTGGAGAGTACCTGAGACCTTCTAGAGGGGTATGCAAGACCAGAACTATTTTCGTAACAATACTAAGACATTATGTGCCTGTTTTCACCGTGTGGACCTTTTCACTGGAAATGCAAAAGCAGTGGCAAAACTGCTGGCTGCGTATCAGGAATCAGGCAGGGGCACCCAGTGTACTGGTAGTCATTACATTTTTGACTGCCATGCATCCCAGTACAAAAAAAAGGGCCAGTTTCACTTATGAACATTTTTAATGAAGCAATAAAAATTATGCCTGAATCACTGAGTCTTGTTAATATTTTGCGTGATGAAGTAAGAACTATACATAAAGCATTTCTGCTGCATACTGAAGTATGAGGTTACGTGTAATTTATTTGAGTTGCAAAGACACTTACCTGAAACACCATTTTTACTTGAAAGAAAGATGGACATCAAATTATGGTTTTTCAGAGTTGGGACTCTGACAGGTAATTTCTCAGTAATGAACCAAGGAATACTGTCATTTCAAGTAAAATAAATGTGTGTTTGTTTCCAATGATAGAGTTTGAGCTTTCAAGTAAAAATTAGAATTTTGGAAAACTTGTATTCATCACTGTGAGGATGATAGGTTCCAACAGTTAAAGACTTTTTTGAAGAAATCAGTGGTGATATTAACAAATATGATTTTTATATTATATTGTGATATTGTATAATGAAAAGTGTCAACATTTGAAAGGTCTGCGTCATTGTATGATGTTACAAAATCATGTTGAAAGTTCAAGGTGATTCAATGGATTTTAATGTAACAGAAGACAAGGTTCATTCATACAGTTTCAAACTGTACGTTACAACTAACCGTTATGAAACTACCACTTGTCACCTTATTGGATATATTCAAAGATGCACAATAATCTAAAAAGGGTATGAAAATATTCTGTAGCTTTTCCAACTATGTTATTTGTATGTGAAGTTGGATCTTATTCACATACTTCAATCAAAACAACAGATGACACTGAATGCTAAAAAAAAAGCAGATATGAGAATCTAAGTCTTTTATTAAGCCAGACAATGAGATTTATCAAAAATGTAACACGTCATTCTATCACTAAATATTTTTTATTTTGGAAAATATAGTTACTTTTTGTAAAAATGTTACTGATGTTAACATGTAATGGCTTTTGTTACTGTTATTTTTAAATGAATAAGTATTTTTAAAATTCCTTGGTTTTAGTACCTACTATGGTAAATATCAATTGATGTAACCCACATAGGCAAAAGCTTCTTGGGGTCTTCTTTTAGAGTTTAAAGAGGATCTGACGCTAAAAAGTGTAAGAATCACTGGATTAGAACACTGATTTCATGTATTATATCTTTTTTTCCAATGCAGTCCTAAAAGTAAATATCTGATGAATTTTAGAAGCTGTACCTTTCATAAACAATGTATTCTAATTTCAATTTCAGATTTCACACATGTATACATTAATATGAAAGGTTATAATTAATTTGTATAAACAGTAATTTTTCACTTACAAGTACATTGCTGACACCAAAATTATATAGGGCCTTTTGAGATTTAGAATTCTATTTTTGAAAAAGATTTTTTTTCTTTTTCAGAAAATGTATTTTGGATTACATGATATCAGTAAGTCACAATTACCAACAAAAAGGATCCATAAATTACACTTTATGTTAAAGCCAAAATTTTTTTTTTGATTTAGTGATTCACAACAACACTCAATAAGCCTTACTCAGGATCCAATTTGAGAACTATCTCAGAATCCAACATTAGAAAAGGGGATAAAAGAAAACAGCAAAATCTCACAAAACTATCTCCCCAATACATTTCTTCTTTTTTAATAATAAGAGTTATGCAACAAGTTTCCTCTTTTGCCTTAACTGCCAGGCCGTTCAAAGCCAAAAATCATGCTCACCTCCCCATCTTGCACTTGGCTTGCTCTCCCCCCAACTCCTGCACTGTGTTTTCCCCTTTCCTTGCTACTTTGTCTTCTTATGTATTAATAATTCTTTGTTTTTAAGCTACCTCAAATCCTTTCTGGAAAGATATGGGGTACGAATAAACTAAAAATAAAATAAAGCATACAAACTCTTAGAAAGAGAAAAAATATATCACATATGAAATGTAGAAATTTACTTACATTTATTTTAATCTATAACATACATTTTGGCAGTCTGATAACATTGGCAGAACTTACCCTTCTATGTCTTTCTCTGTCTTTACATTTCTCTCGTACCCAATCAATAGTATGAAAATCATCATATGTACCAACACCTGGAATTGGTTCATCCAAAAGATCCAGTAAGTGTGTAGAACTGTTAATGCTGCCTCCATTTGTCATTGTATAATGAGTTCCTACAGAGCAAAAAAGGAAGGGTGAGTATGTTTGAAGAGACAACAGTGAGCTCTGTAACCATCTTAGAAGTTCATTGGTAAATCATACAGAAATTGTATCATTTGAAATAATTTCAATTAAATAGAGGAAAATGTTAGGAAAAATTACCCAAAACCTGGAAATAAGGCAAAAAGATTATGGCATGTCCTTTCAAAGTCATACTAGAGTATCAACAACGAGCCTGCCTAATAGTCATCTGAAGCTCTGTAGAAGAGAACTTTATGTGACTTGCTATTTACTATTAATTAAGAGAGAGACTCCGTAATGTTAGAAAATGACTTGTAGAAGATTGATAAATTGAAAATGGTTATTTTCACTGGCAAAACAAAAATGGATTCTGTCCAGTAGAAAAAAATAACCCCTAGAGTTGTAGTTTTGTTGATTTCTTTGTTTTTGCCCTGTAAGAACTTTTTTCTTTCCCTGCCTATATACATATCAGTCGCATTATCATCCTCTGATCAGCCTTGTCGTCATGCTGGCTCTCTCATTAGGGTTAAATAAATCTTTGACACATGTTCACTGTGTATTTTATATGAGTACAGCAGACTTAACAAATGCACTAGGAAGGACATTAAAAGACAATTCAACAAAAAGCAATACAAATGCCTTTTAAATATGAAAAAAAGTTCAATTGAACACATAAAAAGAAATACAAATCAAACCCACAATATCATTTTCCTCTATCAGATTAGTAAAGATTAAAAAAAGTGTGAATACGCTGAGTGGGCAAAAGTTATGGAGAAAGAGGCCCTACCATAAAATCAGTAGTTTAAGTATAAACTAGAATAGCCCCTTTGGGAAGGCAAAAGCTATCAAAGCTTAATATACACAAATACTCTTCAACCCAGGAAGTTCATTTCTAGGAATTTTGTCTGCAGTTGCACTTGTATAAATCCTTGAATAAATCCATAAATTATGCACAATGTGGGCAGAACATCTTACTATGTGCTATAGAAAGAAAACAAAAACATATTAATGCCAAAGTGCTTATAATCTAAAATAGGGTTTGGCAAAGAGCCAGCGAGTATTTTAGGCTTTCGAAGCCACACAGTTGCAACTACTCCACTCCGCCACAGTAGCACAAAATAAATCATACACGGCACGTAAATGAATGTGTACAAATGTGTTCCAATAAAACTCTATTTGCAAAACAGGTGAAGGGCAGGATTTAGCACATGGGCCATAGTTTGCCAACTGCCAACTCATGATCTAAAATCTGTACGGCACAAACCAAACTCAACTGAAGATATTTATTGAGAATTTTTTATATGAATTGCACTTTTCTATATAGTGTAGGAGATACAAAGATAATGAAAAAAAAAAATACTGTCCCTGACTTCAAGGTACAAGTTGTGAGTTCCCAATCCAAAATTACATTTCAAAACAAAGTTCTAACATTGAAGTACTATAAAACAAAATTTTAATCATGTTACCTATATTTAATCTGTTACAAAGAAATCTTGGGACTATAGTACCTAAAACTAGATGGGATTAATCTGAGAAAATGTCCTTAAAATATGAATTTTAAATTATAATTTGAAATAATTAGGCTATGGTTTCACAACGAGCACTACAGCTACATATTCCATGTTAGATATGCTTACACCTATTTCCGAAAAGAAGAAATAACTGATGTGAATACAGTCTGTAAAAGATAGTTTATATGACTGTTAGAGTCTGGAGGGAAAAAAATGGGCTGGATAAGAAATACGTGAAAACTGCTCAACTTAACAGTGGAAGTAAACATTGATACAACCATTTTGAGGGGTAGTTTGGAAACATCTATCAAAAGATAAGGTCTCTACTTCTCGGGATTGCTTCAACGAGTGCACAAAGACTTAAAGATTTCACTGAAACACAATGTGTAATACTGAAAAATTCAAACCAACAGAAATGTCACCCATTGGTAATGAATTAAATAACTTATATGTATTTATGCAATGGAATATAATGCAGCAGTTAAAAAGAATGAGGTGTATCAATATATACCAATACAGAAAGGTGGCTACAATATATTGCAGTTTAAAAAAAAGGGCCAAGTAGGCTGGGCCCGGTGGCTCATGCCTGTAATCCTAGCACTCTGGGAGGCCAAAGCAGGACTGCTTGAGGTCAGGAGTTCGGGACATGCCCGAGCAAGAGTGAGACCCTGCCTCTACTAAAAACAGAAAAATAGCTGGGCATCCATGGCATGTGCCTGTAGTCCCAGCTACTCAGGAAGCTGAGGTAGGAGGATCACCTGAGCCCAGAAGTTTGAGGTCGCAGTGAGCTGTAATGACGCCATTACACTCTACCCAGGCCTACAGAGTAAAACTGCCTTTAAAAAAAAAAAAAGCCAGGTGTAGACTAGCATTTGTAATATGCAAATTATTTTGTAAATTTATTGGTTTAAAAATTATGCTTTACATGTATAATTATAGAAACAGAGAAAACTGTATGACCATATATGAGACAATATGTTAATAAGGGTTTCCTCTGGGGAGTAGAATTGTTAGAAACAGAGAACAAGCTTTCATTTTCTACTTTGCACTTACAGATTGATCTAAAAAATTATTTTTCTAAATAAGCATACAAACACAGTATTTTCATAGGGACACAAATAGGGCTATGAAAATAGAGAAATTCTAACGGATCCAACCATCATATAAGTGGAAAGAGCAAAAAAGTGTTAGCAAAAGGCCCAGATTCTAATCCTGGACAACTGGGTGACTTTGGACGAGTCATCTTTAAATATTAAGTATGTATCAGCATCCTTGACAACTATACGATACATGCTGCAGCTTATAATAAAGATATATAAGTAAAGAAGCATTTGAAACGTCTCCAAAGCACTGAAAACTCTGAAAACCTCAAACATAATTTCAAATAGGTGATTTCAGCATAAGTGATTATAAATTACATCCTCAAATTATTTAGCAGTAATATAGAGTTTATGCCAAAAACTAATATAAGATTATTTAGGAGTATGTTATTTTAAGGAAAATGTAATTAATTATTTGACAGAGAATACAAGGAGTGGCACTATGCTAATATTTAAATGAACACTGTAAAAATAAAACACAAGACCAACCTTTTTTTTCTGACTTTTAAGGAATGGAGCAAATTTCCCAGACTGCTCTTGCAGGCTTTCTGGTTTAAACGGACTCATTCCCTTTTGTTTACAGATTAAAGAGACAATCATAAATATTAAGTCACTTAACAAACTATCACGTGGCAAAGCCTGAATTTGAACTTTCCCTAATCACTATGAACATGTTCAGGCTAGAGCAAGACATCTTAAATCAATTGGTCAATGGGAGGGGGAGGGATGCACAAAGAGCCACCGGGTCAATACTAAGAACTAATTTTATTATTGTTAAGCTGTATATGAGCTATACTGTAGATTGCAAACTCTGTTTCTCGATAATTCAAAGAGGCAGCAGAAGCAAGACATGAATATAGAATTCTATATGAATATAGAATTAATATAGTAAACAAAGCAATAAATGTAAATACTGTACATGTAAATACTGCACTAATAAACTGAAATGTCTACTTGCTTCTACCAGGTATTAACAGGGTTCTCACTTATCTCCCTATTAAATGCATTTGAATGTTCACCTTGGAAAGGTATAAAACTTCTAAAAGGACACTAGTACATTGCTTTCAGTGTTTTAGCAGAAGTATTCCAAGAATAAATAATTTACCATTCTTGGCTAAGGGTATAAAGGTCCAATCCCTGCATTGCAATAGTGGCCAGTTAGGAACAGGGTTGCACAGCAGGAGGTGAGCAGCAGGTGAGTAAGTGAAGGAAGCTCTGCCTCCTGTCAGATCAGGGGGCATCAGATTCTCACAGGAGCACCAACCCTACTGTATACTGCGTGTGTGAGGGATCTAGGTTGTGCTGCTTATGAGAATCTGATGCCTGATGATCTGGGGTGGAGCTGAGGCGGTGATGCTAGCGCTGGGGAGCGGCTGCAAATACAGATTATCATTAGCAGAGAGGTTTGACTGCACAATAAATGTGATGCGCTTGAATCATCCTGAAACTCCCCCTTCCCCATTGCCCCTGGCCCATGGAAAAATTATCTTCCATGAAACCGGTCCCTGGTGCCAAAAAGGTTGGGGGCCACTGCTCTTAACCTTAAGTTCTTCCCCACACCCCCGTCCAAATTTTATTGAATAATTTCTGCTTTGTAAAAGCTACCTGAAAGGCCACAAATTATCTTAAGAAAAAGTAACTGGAGAATAAATATAATAGAACATTTATAATATCTTGACAAGCCAGGGAATCTCTGATTCTGCTTTCCATATAATAATATTAAATAAAACTAATTTAGAAAATGTTTTTGGGAGGAAGAGTCAAGAGCCTCTTAAGGCTTTCTGCTACAATGTACGGTACTTCTGTGGTATTCTGGCCCACAGTGCATAAACTAAGTCTTAAAAGGAAAAACCAGATACACCCAAACTGAGGGAAATTTTACAAAATAAATGGCTTGTATTCTTCAAAAATGCCAAGGTTATGAAAGATAAAGAATGACTGAGGAACTGCTCTAGATTCAAGGAGACTAGAGAGACATGACAGCTAAATGTACTGTGCTCCGGGATTAGATCCTGGACCAGGAAGAAAGTGCTTTTTCTTTTGTACTAAAGGACACAGTGGGACAACTGGCGTATTGGAGCATGGTCTACAAATCAGATAATGGTACTGTATCAATGTCAATTTTCTGATTTTGAAAAATGTACTGTAGCTATGTATAAGAGAATGTCCTTTCTTAAGGACATACACGCTGAAGTAGTCAGGGGTAAAAGCGCAGTACGTCTGTATTTTACTCTCTACATGGCTCAGAAAATAAAATAATATAGTATATACATGTACTACATATATCAATATATAAAATGCTATATATTATATACTGCACACTGAGAGGACGAACAGAGACAGAATGAACAAATGTGATAAATGTTAACATTTCAAGAATGG